TTTATCGATATTATCCATTATGTAATATACATATACCATGTATAATTATATATATACCTAGGGCCTCTAGGTCCTTCCTTTTGGAAGGTCTCTTCAAGAATATGGGTCCAAGGTCTGAAAACCTGGTTTTTCATGAAAGGGACGTATTCTGACAATCGACCCGTATTTTGAATTATCAGCTTTGGTCAACTTAAATTGATGACATTCAAAGAAGGATTCAACTCTAATCCCTCCACTCATCCACACTTCCAGCAGCCATCCGCACGCTCAGCGAGCATTTTCTTGGGGCGACGTGGACAAGATCTTGAAGAGCAAGAGGTGGGAAGCCTAGCCGTGGAAGGATCAAGGGCAACCAAAGGGAACCCAATGGGTTCAGAACATTGCCCAGCAACCTTATCCCACACCCATAATCAAGCAAACTAATATAATAGATGTGTCTTGGGTTTAAGTTTGAGGGCATTCATGTTCCAATAGTGTTTTTTTTACTTGAGGGTGTCCACACTCTCAAAAACAACTTTGTCCTACAATCACCCCTGCGACCTCCAGAGGCATTTTGGATCAGGTCAAGTCTTCTCTTACCAGCTGCTTCTTTACTGAAGCATGCAGTCAGCTTCACCCTTAGAAGGTGTAGCGAAAGAATGGGAAGAGAGTGAAGAAATTAGAGCCCACATGCGTGAGCACCGATGCTTGCTGCGAAAAGAGCTATGGGATGAACACGTGAAGATTGATGTCCGCCATGCAGAAATGAACTTTCCTGTTCTTCGGGTTTTGGTTCGCCGCTTGCGTGACGAAGGGGGGAACGTCAGCATGCTTACAATTCCACACATCATCTCTGAGAATCCTGGTGGGACAAAGAAGTGTTCATTATGTGTATTGTTATTGTTTTCTTATGTATGTGCGTGTTTTTTTTTCTGGAATCTTAGTGGGTGTAAGGATGATGAAATTGTACACTCTCATGAACCTCAGCCTCCCCCGCAAGAAGGACATCAAACAGGAAGCGAAAACCATGAAGAAGTTTCTTGTCTTGGTCAAGAGGAAGTTGCAACGCCAACAGCTTTGCAGATCTTATCTCTTCCGAAGGTTGTTGAGCATGGTGTTCGATCCCGATGAGAAGGACACCTTTGTTGAAAAACACCTGATTCTGGTGTGGTTCAACCCGATAGGTTTCAATCTATATGGTCCACATGGTCTTACCTTTTTTTACTTCATTTTCCAAATGTCCCTTCAGGAGCCAGTTTGTGAGGATATTGAGGAAACAGGTGAGGACCTAGAAGAGAGTGAGGTTGAAATTGAAGAGGAAGAGGAAGAGGAAAATGAGGATCCAGAAACTCAGGAAGCAGCAGACACTCAAGAAGATAGTGAGGACAAAGTGGAATTGGCGGAGGTGGAGGAGGAAACAAAAGTGCGTCCCGTGTCACCTGATTCCCAACCGCTTTTTGACTACGAGGATTCCCAGGTACTTGAATCCCAGCTACCTGAAACCGTGCCATCCCAGAATGCATTGGTGGAGGATGAAGTCATTGAAATTGATGAAACTCCTTCTCCTGAACCGCTTTGTGATGAGAAGATCCCAGAGAAAAATGCTAGCGAAGAAGAAGAGACCAAACAAGAGAAGGGGTGGAAAGAGGCTAGGATCGATGCGCTAAAGGAGCAAATTGCTAAATTGAAAAAAGCATGGACGGCAAAGTGTCTTGGTTTTCAATACGCCAGTTGTATACTTTTTCTTCGCTTTTGTGTTTCTTTGCACCCTGTTGGTGGAAATGTTGTTTGTTTTAAGATCTGAATTTGTGTCTCAGGCAAGCCCGAGATTCCCTCAAACACGAACAAGCCTCTGACAAGACCGCCTTGGCTTACGCTGAAGACGATTTTGATACCCAATTCGACCCCATGATCGAGGAGCTCGCGAATCGATATCAAGCAATGATGAACATCGAAGAGATACCATCGGCCCCAACAGCTACTTGTCAACCATGTATGTGATTGATTTGTTTTACTGTTTTGTTTTGATTTCCCCATACCATAAAGAGTGTACCCTCTCTAAACTTGACAACTGTTTGCTTTCAGGTTCTGCGACGTCAGCAGCTTGCTCTCAAGACAGATGACCCTGAAGAAGAAAAAGGAACTGAGAAGAATGGGAAGGCTGAGGAGGGAAAGGATGGTGGCAGGGGTAGGGGCAGAGGCAAAGGCAAAGGAAGAGGCAAAGGGAAGAAAACACGCAAAGCAAGTGAAGGAAAGAGCAACAAGGAAAGTGCAAATGAGGAGGATGACGAGGATCATGATATGAAGAACAAGTCCCGAACAGGAAAAAGGAAAACATCGCAGCTTGAAGGTGAAAGCTGTGGTGGTGGTGAAGGCGGGGAAGAGATGCCTGAAAAGAACCATGGACAAGTTCAGGCCGATGCTACCAAGCATGAAGATACGATCGATGAGGAGGCAAGCAAGGATGATATGAAGAATGTGAAGGGCATCGTTTGTGACAAGACAGAGGCAAAGGCAGAGAAAGCGCCTGTCACCTTGGAGGACAACAAAAAGGATGAGGCCGGAGGTGCTGCGGCAAAAGCACAAAGCATGAACAAGAGGGCGAGGAAGTCCAAAAAGGAAGAAACTAATGAAGACAAGGAGGTGGAAGTGGCTTCGAGTGAAAGGCCCAAAGATGTGAAGATGAATGGAAAGGCAGCCTCGATTGAGAGCACAAAGGTGGAGGAAACAAAGGAGCCTGAGAAGCCAATGAAGAGACCTGAGGATGTGCATGAAAAAAAGGCGGAAGAAGAGAAATCCAAGACTCCCGCTGTTGAAGAGGTGGGTTTGGGCAAGACAGGTTCTGGAGGTGAAACTACAAATGAAGCTGCACCGGAAGGGGACACAAGAAAGCGAAAAGCAAGAAAGCCAAACAAGCCAGAAAATGGACAGGAGACGAAAACAAGGAGAAACAATAAAGCAGACAAGGAAGAGATTAAGGATGGAAATGATGATGAGCCAAAGGTGGCAACGGGTGGGCGGGAGGACATTGAAGATGAAGGAATGGAGTCACAGCCAAAAGCAACCAAGCCCAAGGGCGGAAAAAACAAAAACCTGTCAAAGGAAGCGGAAAGTGGAGGCTCTGCTCAGCCACTTGCAGAAAGGAAGTTGAGGAAAAGACTAAGACAAGCAAGCAGCAAGGAGGGTCCTGAAGAACAGGAGAAGATGAAAGCAAGTGGGAACAATGAAGCCGATGATGACGCAGAAATCCCTGAAGTAAAGCCTAAAAGGCAGCGTTCAGCGGTTGCGGCAACCTTTGCTCGAAGAGCATGCCCAAAAAGCGTGAATGGCAAGATGAAGTGGGAAGCCCTGAGGAGGGCATTCGAGACCTACATCAAATCCGAGCTCAAAGCCTACAGTGCCCACGAGGACTCTTGGGGTTGCTGAGTATGAGGTCCACCAAGCCCCTTTAAAGAACACTCAGGAATTTATGTTTGGGATACGTGGGTGCACTTGGTTTCTGTAGGTACCTTCGTTTGACCTTTTTGATACCAATTTGTCAATCCCCTTCACCCTGACCAGAACTCATTCTGGGCATTTGCGAGTGAACAGTTTGCCAAAGGGGAGCCGGTGCTCGACCACAACATCGATGCACAGGCTTCATCTGCTGCTTCATTGTATGTGGACTTGATGGTGAAGATAGGGACAATTCCACCTACTCGTGAGAGTGCTTAGATGTCTTCATGTTTTGCTCCAATTGCTAAAGGGAGCTCGTACAAGAATTGTGGCCCCAAAAATTCCTGAAGGTTCTTAGTCGTTCTACCAGTCTCAATGATTCCTTTGTCCTTTGTGGGATGGTTTTACAAATGTTGGTATTCACATATTGGATGATTCCAAAATGACATTTCAGGTGGCGCAATGCAATTGTCTTGAATGGGGTCTACAAAAACCCCGTGAACCAATCTATCGGCCTGGTGTTTCTAAACACCAATGCTTTCTAGTGAAGGGTAGCGCAGGTGCTAGATTGCAGCTCTGGCTGGAAGGGGTTTCAAAGTCTGCCGGTGACTGTGACGCCGTTTCCAACCTAGGAGAAAGAGCTTTTGTTTCTGCACCACAACTTTGGGTAACACTGGCAGATGGAGAGCCAGCTCAGTGCTCAAAACCACGTGCCTTCCTGGTGGAAAAAACATGCGGCAATGCAGCTTTCTAGTTATGGATGAGTCCTCAAAAGGGAGTACGCTTTCACTTGTATCTTCTTGTTGGCTAGTCTTATACATGTCAATTGTTATTTGAGTCAGGATGTATCTATGAAGTTATAAAGGGAGTCAGAGTTGGGTTTCCAAATAGGCGGCTTCCATCCCAGACTTCTCCGCGAACTCCCCCCACACCTTTCCCTCTGACCCACCCTCCTTGCCTCAACAATGCCAGCGCTGCTGCTGCCCGGTCTGAGGCACCTCATGGATGGCGAGGCGATTGATCAATGACAGATGGAACGGTGCGCTTGGCATGTCTACTCGGGGGTGGCAAAGCTTTAAAGATGCAATGCAATGCACTGAAACTTCATAGCACCCAGCCAGATTTTGCCCAAAGTCTCCTTACTTGTTTGTGGGTGCGTGGGTGGTTTGGCCATGGACCCAGTGAAACTGGGGAAGCTTAATACTGTGATCAATCGCCTCCACCTGATGGGAGCACCAAAGGCTGGATTGTTTTATTTAATGTGCATGGATGTGTGCCTCCTCTGTTTTGTTTGCACTTCATGTTTGATCCCTGTCAGCTCTTGCTGGGTGCCGTGGTTCTTCTGGCCCTCAACCAGGACGTCTCCACGTTTTCAGAGGCTGGCGACTAGCAGACTTTCAGGCTTTATCCTGCCTCAACTTCTTCCGACAACATGGCCAGCCTAGAGTCTAGAGATGTGTGTTTTGGAGGCTCACCACCCCAAACATTACATAACTATATGGTCTGGGCTTTCATTTGCGCAACCCTGCGCACAGGCCTATGGGTTTCTTGAATTCTTTGCTGGAGAGGCTTGGGTCTCAAAAGTAATGCGGTGGCGTGAGGTGCCAACTGCTTCTTTCGATATCCGCTTTCATGAAGAAGGTCAGGAGGGTAAAGTGAGCCCGGCCATGGACCTCTTGTCGGATGCTGGATTTGAGTTCCTTTGGTGAAATGTTGTATAACTGATGTTTTTTTGAGGAAAAACACAAGGCGTTGTTTCAGTCCTACTCCCTTTTGGAATACATTTGGCATTTGCCCTACTTTCTACCAAGGTTAGCATTGTTGACTGTCTTGAACGCAAAGATGGGATCCTTTCTGGCAGTAATCGGTCTTGTTTGTCGAAGCTTTGTCACTATTTCTTCTGGCACCCACAAGAGAACACCATGGCGGCCTTTGGGGGATGAGCGGGTGGCAATGGTGCAAGAGGGCAATGGACTCCTCTCACGGACCTTTGATTGCCATTCAAGTACTTGTTTGTGAACAAAGATCCCACACGCTTCAGTAAGGTTCAACAAAGATAGAGCAGTTGGGATCTTGGTTTGCAACCCTGTGGGATTTGACATGGAGCAAGGTGGCCTGTACAACCCCGCCAAACAATAATACAACCTATGGACAACCCATGTCTTTGCATTTTTTGGAAGCGTTCTGCATCTAAGGGTGACTTTGCTGATCATGGTGATATCCGCCATGGGTGGTTGCTGGTTGCTGGAGCAGCCACGGACAAGCCTCATCCTTTACCATCCCCGTACGCGACACTTGTGGCGCTTGCTCCCAAAGGTGCCCACAACGGAATGGGTTTGAACAGGAACCCCCCCAAAAGCACCGTGCGTTGCTTGCTTCACAGTGGTTCGTGGTTTGAGGTTCATGCAACAACAGGGTGGGAGTGAGAGGGTTGGACATGTCCAAGACTACCGCCCAGGTGTATTCGGCCTCCTGGTGGATGGGCCTCTACAATGCCTTGACACCAAAGAGGCACATTGCCTTTTCCAATGCTACTGCTGTGAAGCTCCTGGATTTGGGGACCATGTCCAGGGAGGCTATGAACAAGCTTTCTAGACATGGTAGGAAGAGTGCAAAGACCTACATCAATAAACGAGGAAAAAAAGCATTTGTTGGGACAAAGCACCTACGCTCCACACAGACTCTCTTTCCTTGATTTAATATGTTATTTTCTTTGGGGCCCATCCAAGACTGCACGAACAGAAGCATTTGGGCTATGGGTCATGTTCCTCTGATCTGAGGACCTATCCTCCAAGATTTGCTCTACGGATCGCCAAATACTATGATAGGTTCTGTGCTTCTTGTGAACCATTTCCCCCTGAAGCAGACAGAGCACAAGTCTCTGCAAAGAGGATCTTCCAGCATATGTCTTGGGAAGATGATCCTTGGGACGATGCTGGGTTGAGGTCCCTGTTCATTTATCTTCGGGGAGCGACTGGTCTTGATCTGGGAGACTGGCGCCCCTTCTTCCCAACCATGCTTTAATTCCTAAATGTGTTGAAGACCTTTGGGGCAAGAATGATTTAATGGATTTGGGATTGTGGTTGTTCCTTCTTGTGCAAACATACCCGTGGATGAACCTTGACCCTCCAAAAATTAGACAGATACAATCAAGTTGCAACAGTAACTTACAACTTACAACCATTTACAAACCATAGTATGGACCATGGTGGTTGGGAAGACTTTAGGAGAACGTCGGCTGTGGGCATGTGGCAGCCTGATGGGATTGAAAAAAAGCAGTGGTGAGTCAAACATAGTCAAACAGAACCTTTAGAATGTCATATTTAACTTTGGGACACTTGAAAGAAAGTTCTCTTCAACATCAAAGGTCTTTCACTTGCCTTTATAGAGTGTTTTATATTGTTTTAATGCTATTTCATAACTTTTTGGAAAAATCATGAAATACGTATTTTCTATGTAACATTTACGTATTAAATACGTATCAAAGGGGAACCCGTAAAAGGGACGTGTTTTGGCGTAATGGACCCGTTTTTTGGCGTACGAGAATACGTATTTTTCCCGTAATTAGGCTATATTTGGACTTAGGTGGTTTTGAGCTGACATAGTGCTTTTTTAGTGGTGTCTGGGTGGTTTTGAAGACTTTGAGATCATCTTGGTTGCAATTGGAAACAAACTATGGGTTTGTGGCACTGATAGGGTAACAAAATAACATAACATGCCATAACATGCAATTGGGCACAGGGGATCCTATAGACCTACTAGTGGATTCAAGGGGTCACCTTGTTAGTTAGATGTGTTCACTCTTCCCAATCATTGGATGTAGATCTTGTCGTGATGGCTTACAGCGGCCGCTCCTGGTGACTGTTGAGAAAAGGTTTGCATGGCAAATAAATTGCTCTCTAAATCCTGGAGCTGTGGTGATATGACAAGGAAACATGCCAAACTTATAGCGACCAAGAAGGAAAAAGACGATGAACTGCAAAAGAAGATCCAGGACCACTGTTATGTTTGAATGGCGCAACCCTTCCAGGTATCCAACATGCTTTGTGGGGGGGGGCAAGCTTTCTCCCAACTTTCTATTTCAAGGTTTGGGCACTGCGATGAGCGCATGATGTTGAAATGTTTGGGAGATATCTTATCTTCATCTCTTTCTTCGCCAAAATGAATCATACATATTGATTCCCCCTGGAAGGACTACGAAGCAGAAATTGCAAAGCTCAAGGCCAGCCAAGGAGATGAACCAGTTCCCTGTCCTTTTTAGGAAAGGTTCAATTCCACCAACCTTTTTTAACTACAAAAACAAGGTGCCAACTTCACCTCCCTCCTGCTAAGGAGGCAGAAGCGGGTGCTGATGATGAGACCCAACCAGCCATCAGGCTGCATTATCGACCCCTTCGTTCGATAAAACAAAATGAAATGCTTACCCACAAGGTTTATTGGTCCATGGACATCACCACTTTTTCGATCTTCTCCAAGGCCACCCCATCACAACTGGCCGCTGCCAAGAAAAAGCGGGCTGAGAGACCTGTGGCCACCCCAGCCAGAGTCACTGCCCCCCATGTCGGTGGCTCGGGCAACCCTGCCGAGTCAAAGCGGTTGAAGCAAAAGCAGCCAGATCCTGACAAGGATAGGGCAATTGCAGAGTTGACCAAGGCTAGAGAGATTGGATTAGATGCGCATTTGTTTTGTTTCTTTTGGACTGGACATGGTCCTGCACATTGAGCTCTACTTATTTGTTTGGTGGCCCTGTCTAGGCAGGTTCAAAGATGCAACTCGAGATTGAGAAGCTCAAGGTGGAGTTGGAACAGGCCAAGGGGGCACCCGCTCCTAAGGCAAAAGCAGCTGCTGCTAAGTCAAAAGCAGCTGCTGCTAAGTCTGCACCTGCTCCTAAGTCTCCACCTGCTCCTAAGTCTGCACCTGCTAAGAAGGTGAGTTCTGAACCTGAGAGCCAAGGCAAACCTCCTCCGGAAACTGAGGCAGCAAAGATGGCTCGTCTCAGGAGGGTTTGCGAGCGTAAGCCCAGTGGCAAACTGATGGTCCCAGAGGAAGTGCACAATCGTTGGCGCACGGCCAATCACGATGAGCGTGTGGCCATGTGCGACGAGCTAGAAGCTGCTGGGTGGGACAAGGATTGACCCCATGTTTTGTGTGCTGCTCAACTTTGTTCAACAGGAAATATATGAGATATAAACCATCTGTAGCTATAATAGCACACTACTTTTTGGAATCTCAAACTGTGTTGATTACTGTGGCTCTAGGAGACCTTCGTCAAGCGCACCAAGATTCAGACCAAAACGAACAAGCTTACCAGGAAGAAAAAACGGGGCTGGTACACAGAGGAACAGATGAAAACAAAGCTTGGTTGGAGCAAGCTTCTTTGATGATTCAGTTTGAAAGTTCATTGCATGGTTCAAGACAAAAGGAATCTACGAACCTCAACAGCCCAGGTCCTACATCAAGTCTGTGGTTGCTTACTGCCGACGCAAGGGCAATGAACGCCTTATCAAGACTCTTTTTTGCATTGGGGGTGTGAGTGAATTCAACTGCTGAGTTGATATTTCCTCACTCATTGGCATCGAACATTGAACCTCAAATCATATCAGCAATAATAATACCTATGGGGTGTCTTCATAGCTTCCTGTTTCATTTTGCAAGGAAGGACATCTACAACAAGAACCTTGAAAAGTTCTACGTGGTTGTGGACGAGAACGACACCGACGTGTCCGAGGATGAGGAAGTTGAGCAAAACATCAAAGAGGAAACTGTGCCCCAGCTGCCTTCATCAGCATTGGCATGCCACGTGGGATAGCCTCTGCATGTCCGAGCCGCTATCCTGAGGCGGAGGACTTCGACTTCCGCGCGCTGGGGAAGGTCAAGGGGAAGAACGTGCCTGCAGAACCCGAGTCTGATCCGGATGGTTCGGGGTCAGAACCTGATGTTTCCAATGGTGCCCAGCAGGACTGGTAATTGTTTGCACAATTGTAAGATGGAATCTGTGAATGCAAAGAACATCGTAATGCTATTTTTGTTTCCTGGAGTTTGTTGTGTAGGAGTACCACCGTTTCAAGAAGTTCTCGGATAGCCTTCTTTCAAGAACGACCAAGCTATCAGAGTTGATTACCGACTTGGGATCGGCCCTTGACAACTCTGGCAAAGCATCAGACAGTTCTGAAGGAAAGCGTGTTTCACAGTCTTAGTCTTAGTCACTAATTTCATTTCATGTCTGGTAATCATCTTTTACCCCTTTGTGGTGCCCAGGTCTGTCGACAACCTGGAGAGTGCCATTGGAATCCTTGAGGCTGAGTATGAGGCATGTGAGGGCGTGCGATGTGAGATCGAAAAGCACAAGAAGGCCACCAAAGGCAGCCCAGGTGAAAAAGAGCCCTTTGTTTGCACAGAGTCGTACTTAAACTCTTTCATTGATAGCCCTCAGAAAACATATATACAATAATAATTCTAGCATCATCCAACCCAGGCTTCTTCAGAAGACCGACAAGCAAATGCAAGCGTCCTCGACAAAGTGCCTGGTCTTCATAGTCGCTGTTTGCACTACCTGCCGCAAACGGTGCCCAGGACATTTTACAGTATTCACACCAATGCCCGATTTGAGGTGCTCAAAGGTTACGACTCGGGAGAGTACCGCAAAGACTCTCGTCAGGGCAAAGTGGTTTGTTTCTTGCTAGCCATCAGGTTGTTAATGAAAATATGAAGCTGGCAATCTCCCTGCTTAACTTGTAGTTTGGCTAGCTGTCCTTTTACTTTGGTATCTAAGGGCTTTGCTGAAGACCCTCAAAAAGCTCGCCAGCGAGTGAGTGATATGGTTTGGAGTGATTGCTGATTTGTTTGGTGCCTCTTGAAGGGCACCAGGGATTTTGTGGGGGAGGAGCCTACGAACATGTGCAAACAGCACGTGATAGGCTTTGCTTTGGGGTTTCAGGGTGTCAAGGACACTTGAATGAGTGTCTGACTTTTTGCGAGCGCTGCAAAAATCTTGATGCAGCGTGATCAATCTGGCACTAGCTAACTGCTAACTACCTAACCTTGTTTCCTGGAAAGGAGGATTGGATGCGCCAGGTCAACCCGACCGCCTTGTGGACCAGTACATGCGCTTGATCGGTGATGGAGCCAGGGCCTTTGGGATCCTGGAGAAGCATCACGAAAGAACATGTTTTGTTTCATGGTCGTGCAACATAGTTATGGCCTGTGTCCCTGTGCAGTGGCCACATGGCACAAATATAGATGTTGAACAGCAAACTGGCGTTTAGATGTTCTGCACAATGCTCGCAGCGGTCGTGTTTAGACATAACTGGATGAAAACAACTTCTTTGTGGTTCTTCTTACGTAGAGTGCTCACAAACTAGATGTGATGAGACTGCCCATCATGTTCACATCTCTTGCTTTAATGGAAGTTTTTTGTGGGAAACCAAAAGGGTTTCAACCAATTCTTGGTGCACTGTGGGTCACAGTGGTGGGTGTTCTTGAAAAAGTTTAATTAGTTTTTTTCTGGTAGGGAACTGTCCTGCAAGCAGTCCTGAACCAGCTCCATTGCCACCGCCCACCAGGCCACCAGGCAGTAAGCGCAAGCCAACATCAAGCAATGTAGACTGCAAAAGGAATCTCTTAATTTCCTGAATGCTTGTTTGTCACATGCACATGATAAGCTATAGCCAAAGAACATACACCTGGTGAGGGGATCATCTCAAGGGATCCTGCCCTTTCTCCGTGCCCTTCGACTGGAAACAAGTGAACACATTGGATCCCTGAGCCATGACCAAAAGCCTTCCCTCGGTACCATCCTATCCCATGCGAAAGCACTAGCAATCTCTGTTAGAGGGAAATGTGGTATTTAGCTATTTGGTGTCAAGGTTGGCACTGCACATCCACCGAGCTGTTTTGCACTGTGTATCAAAAATGGCCACCGCTCCATGCGCTCCACGTGGATCATCCATGCTTGCCAACAATGTAGATCTTATCCATGTTGGAGGCTTTAACTGGTGAACTTGGTGTCTAAAAATTAGACTTGTGGAGCATCTCCACAAAATTTGCTTGTAACATTGTGATTCGTGCGGGGGAAAAAACAAACAATCTTTGAAGGCTGAACTTAAACATTTTTTGCAGGCATCCAACCAAACCCACTTACCCCTCGAAAACCTCCTCAGAAGCCCAATCTACTTGATAGGACCTGATGGTCCCTCTATCGCTCGCCAAGGTCCCTTGCAAGCACATTGTGGAGCTTGCTCGGGCTGATGTTCTCAGCAATCCCCAGTCAAGTAGACTGGTGAAAGAGTTTGCACGAATTAGACCGGATGATGCAGAGGTGGCTGTGCACGCACTTTTGAGACGGAACAACCTTGTTCCAAATGTTCCGATTGATCATGCCTGTCTGGGCGAGGGTCCAATGGTGAAGGAATTTCCTTTTATCAAAATGTCCAGCTGGGTCAGGCATTTGCTAGAGACTCGGCGGCTTCCCCTCCATGTTTGTGGTGTAGAGGGGTTCGAGGACATGGAATACTTGCTGCAGGAATTCTGGGACAGGTATGAAAAAGTTTCTCCTGAACATGAACTGTTCGAGATGGCTCGCCTGCTGGAAGTAGATCTGTGCCGGTGCATTCCAGTTTATAGTCACACAGACGAGGGCAGATCCTTGAAGAAGGAGCCGCTTCTGGTGATTTCATGCCACGGAGCCTTGGGTCGTGGTACACAGGGCTTTCTCAAGCAGCGGAAGCATTTGGAGCCTTTGGAATCCAATGAGCTGGGGATGAATTTCATCGGCTCTTCATTGACTTCGAACTTCTTGCTGGCTACCATGCAGAAGCGATGTTCAAATGACCACCCAGAGGCTCTTGAGAAATTGCTTGAAGTGGTGGCAGAGGACATGTCGAGGTTGATCCATGAAGGAGTTTCCGCTGGTGGCCAACATGTTAGAGTGGTACACCTTGGAACTACTGGCGACCTTCCTGCTCTAGGAAAGCTTGGTTGGTTCTTTCGGTCTTTCTCACATGTACCAAAAAGACCCTCGTCAAGGACTGCAAGTGAAGGCATATGCCACTTGTGTCTTGGAGGACAGGAAGCATGTGCGAGGACAGGTGCGGTGCATTACCCGTTTGAAGATCTGAGTGATACACCTTGCTGGGAAGAGACGTTGAATGCAGCTGTGCCATGGGAGGAAGAACCGGTATTTCTTCGAGGCATTCCTTTGAACAGAAAGGAAATCGCTGCTTGGTTCAATGTGGATTTGTGGCATTGCTTCCACCTTGGCGTTGCGAAGCATTGGGTTGCCTCCGCATATGCTTGCATTGTTGAATCCAATCTTTTGCCAGAAACGTCTGTCGAAAGCAAATTTGAAGGCATTTCAACTCAGTATCGAGCATTCTGTCGACAAAGAAAGATAGCGATGTGGGTCACAGAGATCACCCGAGATACTCTGTGCTGGCCGCAAAGCAGTGCCTGCCCTGTGGGCAAGTGGAACAAGGGAAGCTGTTCCACGACAATGATGCTCTTTTTGGACCACTTTTGCCAAGAAGCTGTTGTTGGCAAGACTGACGATCGAGTTCTTCTGTTGGTTGTCCCTTCGTTAGAAAGATTAATTGTATAGGTGTTTCCCTTTGTAGTTTTTGCATTCTGTGTTTTTTGTTGTTGCACATTGTGGGCACGGTTTCATGGATGTTTTGCTTGCTTGCATTGGTAGGCTGAAGCCACCAAGTTCATGAACCTGGCATTGTCTGCATTCTACTGCAGTGGCTTCTGGCTCCGACAAGCAGATGCGAGATGCCTAGTGCGATGCCTCTTCTTCTTCTTGGGTGCATACCAGACTTGTGCCCACTTGACTCTGCGGCTCAAGAAGAGGCGGTTCCCAATCATGCCAAAGGCACACTTTTTGGCTCACTTGGCCTTGAAAATGAAAAGGCAAAGTGAGGTCCTTCTTTGGGTCCAGAACCCACTGGCAACATCGGTTCAGTGCCAGGAGGACTACATAGGGCGTCCTAGCCGTGTGTCACGCCGTGTGAGCATCAGACAAGTTCACCGAAATGTTTTGTGCAGAGTTCTGATCCTAGTCCAACGTGCTTTAGACGCAGCAGCTTTTGATAGAAGGGGGCTGGAGGGAGCTTGCAACAAGCGTAAAAGATCAGAAATGATCTAAGGGAGACTTGAGCAAGCACTGGAAAACAGGAGGTCCAAGTTGAGATTGGTGTGCTGGGATGGGTTTGGTGGATGCTTGGAAAAACATGAAAATACGTAAAACCCGTATTTTGGACAAAGGGGCGTATTTTGCATGCTAGCAATGAGGAGACTAGCGTAATATGGGTCCAATGATCAAAACAAAGGACATCCAGGTTCTAGGTATATATATATATATTATATTTGGCTAGGGATGATTTCGGACAGCCACTTGTCAGTTAAGTATGTTTCATGTGGCATCAATGTCTTCATGTCATTCACACACTTACACAAGGGGCTGCTTGGTCAAGTGACTGCCACACTGCACCAATGGCTTCGTTGCAGACAAAGAAGGATAGTCGTGCTCGTGCAGCATCATGTTTCCAAAGCAACGTTCCAATTTGGAGGTCTATATTTTATATAGATTGGAGGTCTATATTTTATATAGCTTATATATAAATATATGGTTTAATGACCGCATGACTAAACACGAAACAGTTGAATGTTCCACGTAGCATTGGGCTCAAACGGGTTCATGCCTGTTTGTTCCACTTGCGCGAAGTGGGACTTACTGGCAGGGCGCTGTACGGTGTGCGGCAGCGCGGACCGGCTTTGGGCGTTAATTTCGAGCCCTCGCATTCCTCCAACCCG